TAAAGCTCTTAGAAACACATAAAAATTTTTAATAATTTGAAACAATGGAACATGTAAATTTTTAAAATTGATTGAACTAATAAAAGAAGAGTCACAAAATCACAAACAAAACATGACAACTCAAAATTTTTATCTATAAAAATATAATTACAATTTTGGTAGATTAGTGTCCCACCTAGTAAAATATCAGGATTATATTAATGCTAACGATGAACTGACAAAAATGTCAGATGATCAGAAGTCAATATTTTCAGAAAATGTATAAAAATATAAAATTGCTTGATAATCTTAATGTGAATATGATTAAATAAAATTTTGTAAATGTAATGTATTTTGTATGTTTAAGGTTGATGCTTGTGTGTATGTAATAAGATAACTCTTTTTATAAGTGCTTCAACATTGTTCAAAATTATCAACATTGAAATTTTAACCCTAATTTTTCATTAAAAGGGAACACAGATATCCAAATACATGGAGAGGAATTTTGAATGTTTCCAGAAATTCATACAACAATCTAAACTCAGGAATTTTATGAAAGTAGAGAAGTAGATTTAAAGTTATGTTAGTTTTTCTTCTCACTTTTACTACTTTGAATGCTTCATCATAAACATGAGTTACTGTATAATTATGATATCATTACTACTGGAGCACAAAATGTTGAAAATACTTTGAATACCTAACAATATGGATGATCTTTTGCATTCAGGTAAAAATATTGTACTTAGGAAATCATTATTTATGAGAGTAAAAATTATAACAATATAAATATCTCAATGAAGAAATGGTCAAACACTTCTCAAAAATCATGGTGAATATCTAATTCTTGCATTTGGAAACCATAATAATCATTCCATTGTATTATGTATTGTTGTATTTCTAAAGTCCCCAATGTTTCTTTTCTAGTGACAGACAGTATGTAAAAAGAGAGACAGATGGAAAAAGTGAAGAGGCAGAACCTGAACATGAGTCTATATATCTTGAGACAGAGAACAGACTTCTAAATAAATTAAATTGCAGCATGGATTTCAGGTCTGTATGATCTAATAATTATCACAATGAAAACTTCATCAGTATGTTATCCAATGTAAGATACTGATTTTCTTCCTTCAAAATATGTGAAATATTTTATTTAGAATTTAATTAGTAATTTAGGAGGGGGATAAAAGAGAGTGGTGGAGGGGGTAAATTCAAATTTGATATATTGTAAGAATTTTTGTTAAGTGTCATAATGTACCCCTACTACAACAATAAGAAATAGAAATTAATTAGAAGTAAATATTATACAAAGGAATTGTGTTCTATATTTTGGGAGTATAAAAGTGACCCTGTTAAAGGAGAGCAAAGTATATAATTTTGCTTGCTTCATAGAGAATAGTTGACAATGAGACTTCTGAATTCACATTGCATCTGTTGGGTATTGCATTTCAGATATCTGCAGACCAGTCTTTACATTATGGGGGCCACAGCAAATCCACTAGTTTGCTTTCTGTGGAGTTTCTAGATTCAGACAACAGAAAGACAAATCTCTTCAGTGAGCCTGGGGCACATCGAAGGATGTAAGCTTTTCATTATGGGTAAGCTCAAAATCTAACTTGTATCAATGTTAACAACACAAAGATGGTTATTATATGGAATTAAGATATTCTCAGTGATTTTTACTTCTCTGTGATGAATTGATTTATGAGTATATATGCTGCCAAACTTCATATTTTACCAATGAAAGGATATCCAAATGTTACAACCTTTCATTTCATTTCCTTTTGCCAGGAAAAAAACTTGCCTTGAAAGCTTTTCTGATGTATCCTTTGAAACTGTGTGTTTGGAGGTATTATATTGTTTGTCAAGTGCCTAACACGGTATTTTCCTACTTATTTTTCTAAAGCTTAAATTCATTTCTTTTATCCCAAATCCCAGCATGTCCCTGATTTTCAAACCTCTGAAAAGAAAACATTTCACAACCAAAGACTTATTTAATTGAATTTTCCTTCGGTCACTTATATTCAATGTGATGTGCACATTATGCAAGTTGTTGACATTTTTCTTTTTATGTAATTCAATGTGTCAATTTTCCTCTTTTATTTACTCCAATGTTCCAAATATTGAAAATTTATATTTCTTTTCTAGTAGCTCATACTTCCATGATTCTCATTTATATCAAGTACTGAAACAAAATCATGTATTACTGGGATGAATGGGAACATGCCTATAACTATTAGCAACTTATTGAAGTTTTAGGAGAGATGTATTAAGATCATTAATTGTGGAAGACACTATGTGATATGAGAAGCCATTTGGATACTACAAAATCCTATGGGATAGATTTATCAATGAAGAATTCAAAATTATGTAAGAAGATAAAGTATAACTTTAGCTGACAAATATCGGATTCCAACCATGTTCTCTGAGATGCAAAATTTCAAAAATTGAGTTAGACTTGCATTAGCTCAGTGACTTCAGCATAGTTTGAAAACACATTGCCTTGGCTCAAACCCCCTGCACTACCTGTTAGTGATCTCTTGACATGAATCATAAACAGTATGTACCTTTTGCAGTTGCTATGAAGGTTAGATAATTCAGTATCTGCAGAGCATATAGCAGATGAGGCTCTGTGGCATATGCAACTGGAGTAGTGCCTTTCATTTTGATTAGTAGGACTGGCTTTCCATAGGGTTATTTCACTGTTCAAAAATACTTGCAACTGTCCATTTACCCATTATATTGCTGTAAAACTGTTTTAAAACCTGAATGAGAGTCTGACATTATGTCAAGAATGTGGTTCTTGCTAGGTATTTCATTATAGTTGAAAGGTAAGAATGACAGAGCCAAATATGTTTAATAAACATTATAAAATAAAATGCTTAACATCTTGCATAACATGCAATAGTTGGAACATTGTAGTAAATAAAAGAGGAAAATTGACACATTGAATTACATAAAAAGAAAAATGTCACAGACAAAAGAAATAAAACACACAGAAAATAAATGATAATTTTTATCTATAAAATACCATCTTGATTTTGGTAGATTGATATTCATCCTAGTAAAATATGAAGATTTCTAAAGATGAGCTGACAAAAATTATAGATGGTCAGAGGTCAATATTTTCTGAAAAACTATAAAAATAAAAAATTGTTTCATTATGTTAATGTTAAGATGATCATATAATTTTTCAAATATATTTTGTATTTTAAATGTTAATGTTTGTAAGTATGTAATAAGGAAATATCATACAATAAAATTTTTATAAGTGCCTCAACTATTTTGAAAAGTATCAACATTAAAATCTTACATTTTACATTAAGAAAGAATGCAGAAATCCACACATAGGCACAAATGTTTATGAAGCTTTACTGGGTTCATCTGACAAAGTAAAGTCAGTGGTTTATGGAGAGTATGGAAATAGATTAAAATAATTTAAGGAGACATGATAATTTTTATTCTCACATTTTTTTTATTTTGCATGTTTCATTATGATCATGAAATATTGTACAATTATTTTGTAGTTAATAATGGAAGGTTGGTAGAGAGCCTCAGATGCTCTAGAGTGCCTGCCTACAAGCAAGAGGCCCTGAGTTTAAACTCCAGTACAGCCAAAAAATATGGATCACAAAATTTTGCAAATACTTTTAATATCTGTCAATAATGATGATCTCATTCATTTGAGTAACAATTATGCAGCTTGGAAATTATTATAAATTTATTTGTAGAATTTTTATGTATGAGTGTGAAAACAGGAAATTAAACCAATAACTTAATGAAGAAATGGTCAAACAGACACTTCTCATTAAAATTACATGCTATCATAGCATTACATTGATTATTAAGAGCTGGTGGAATGGTTCGCATGGTAGAGGGCCTGCTTAGCAAGCATCAGACACTGAATTGAAACCCTAGTTCCAAAAAAGGAACTGACAAACTATGGAAGATACAATAACATAAGAATAGTTGGCATAAAAATTCTAAGTCACAATTATAATGTAAACTGTAATTATATGGTGATTTCAACCAAATTAAATATTTATGCAACAAATAAGGACTTGAAATAGATGAGATTATATGTTCAAATTATGAATGATTTTGAAATACAAATAATGTTTATAGGAAAAGTGATACAGAAATTCAGGACATATATTTTAAGAGATAAGTATATGATTAAACAAACCATTATTATAAGCGTAATGTCTAATTCACAGGCAGAGAAGCTCAATAATCTAATAGAATAAGTTAAGTGTAGGCAAAGTAGGGTGAAGTTTAGTTTCCCTCAATTATGCCTACTTCAGGTATTATCCAGACCTTGTAATAGTTATCAGTATACTGATGTCTACAACACAAGACATTTTGTCTTAACAACAAAGTGTTGTTAGAATAGATTGTTTCTAAAGAACATTTCATGCAAGATACTAAAGGGGTAAAAGATAATGGACACAAAAATAAATGAGTCAACTGATAAGATTTTTATTAGAAGGATTGCCTGACATTATTCATGCTTAAATGTATTGGAATAGTGTTTCCTAGAATTCATGAATAAAATAAACTGTGTGATATGAAAAAGTAGGTGCTTTGATTGTACATGTGTATAAAATTTTTGAATTCTTCTGAAAACTCCAAATTGGAGCAACTATTTATATTCCATTTTTGATGTGAAAAGGTAAATTTTGAAGCAAATAAGTTATTTGTAAAAAGAAAGAACCAAATATTTCAGTTCTCAATCTAGGTAGTAATCAAAATATTTGAAGTACATTTATTTCCTGTTGCTCAAATGCACAATCTTTAGTCAATGCAGGACTTTCCTGAATCAACAGATGAATCCTACAGAGTCCTAGCATCTTCAGATTTACAAAGAGTCATAGAGGATTCTGGTTCACCCTGAAGTCAAATTTAGTATAGCAGGAAAATAACCCAGGAATCCAGAGGATAGTTCATGATCTCTTAAATTTGTATTATCTTTTCTTCTCTCTGCAGATTAATTTTCAAACTACAAGCTACCTACAGCCACAGATATGGTGACTAACCACAGTGTGACTGAATTCATTCTGTCTGGGTTGACACAAGATGCTGGAAAGCAGAAGGTAGTATTTGGGATTTTCTTGATTCTTTACCTTATGACGCTATTGTGGAATATTCTCATTTTGGTGACCATTAAAAGAAGCCAGTCACTTGGAAGTCCCATGTACTTCTTCCTGTTCTACCTATCCTTTTCTGATGTTTGCTTCTCTACAACCACAGCCCCACGATTGATTGTGGATGCCCTTTCACAGAGGAAAATAATTTCCTACAGTGAGTGCATGATCCAGAACTTTTCAAGCCATTTCTTTGGGTGCATGGACATATTTGTGCTTATCCTCATGTCATTTGATCGATATGTGGCCATCTGTAAGCCTCTGAGATACACAACCATCATGAGCCAACATATATGTCATGCATTGGTGAATCTGGCCTGGGCAGGGTCTTTTATCCATTCCTCAGCACAGCTTTTCTTGGCTTTGAAATTACCTTTCTGTGGCCCCAATGTAATTGATCACTTTTTCTGTGATGTAGAACCTTTGTTGAAACTTGCCTGCATGGACACTTATGTCATTAATCTACTGATAGTGTTTAATAGTGGTGCCATATGCCTGTTGAGTTTTGTAATCCTTCTTATCTCCTACATTTTCATTTTACATTCTCTGAGAAACCGGAGCACAGAAGGAAGAAGGAAAGCCTTCTCTACTTGCACCTCCCACATCATTGTTATCATCTTATTTTTTGTTCCATGTATCTTCACATATACTCGCCCTCCAACCACATTTCCAATGGACAAGATGGTGGCCGTGTTTTATACTATTGGGACACCCTTGCTCAACCCTCTGATCTATACTCTGAGGAATACAGAAGTGAAAAATGCCATGAGAAAATTAATTGTGGTGTAGGTATATGTGACTTCAGTTGGCAAATTCTGTGTGAGAATTCTAATGTATACTGACTTTACAATTTAGCTTTTGCTGCATGGATTAGAGAGGTCAGATTTCCTGGAAATACCCAGTAATCAAATAGTTAAGTCTAACGTTTCTCAACTTTGGACTATTTTTTATATAACAGTATTTTTACTGCTATTTTCATGTTGAAGACAATCTCAACTATATAAAATTTTCTTTCATTACCTTATAATCTCACAATCAAATACTCTCATGGTATTTCAGATCATATGTCTATGATTAAATCACACGAACACCAGACGCACCAAGAAGTAGTATATTTGTAGATACAGGCCAATATGGCATAAACAAAATATGCCATATTTTGTATGTATATCATCATTTTTATCAAGTGAATGTCATAATATTTCAAAAAATATATCAAATATTTCTGATATGTAGAAGTGGAGGCAGAGTCCATTTTTGCAACCCAAAAAAGACATTTGTCAAAGCTTTTTGTCTCATATTCAAAAGTGACAAATAGGTTAATACCACAACCAATGTATATTTACAATTTTTCTTATTTTATTTATTATACTTTCAAAGTTTTTAAATTCCACCCTATTATGTTAAAGTGTAATTCGTTCTTATATAAGCAGGATTAATTGACATAGATGTTAGATTTTTGTTCCTTGTTCCTCCTTCTAACTTAATATTAATAAAATATGAGTATCTGAGTGAAAACATCTTGTGTCTCCTGAATTTTGTTCTTACTATTAGACAATGCAAAATATACAAATTCTGATAGGGTTTACCTACACTTAGAGTTTTGCCTGACATCACTAAAGATTTGTCTTAAAGTAGAAGGAAAGCCTTTGATAAGTTAGTAGCAGACCTTTCAAAGTAACTTTGAACCATGATTGGATAAAACACTTGGCACTGGAAATGTCAGAGTCCCTTAGGACATGCAAAGTGGAGAAGTGGCTTTCAGGACAGAATCTGTCTGTTCACTTCATTCCCTGGGACTAATTTGCCTCATTATTTGTTGTGTTGCTTGTTTAACTATGCTAAGTAGCTCATTAGACAAATATTTCAGCTTGAGTAGGATGGTCAGGAGTTTGTCTCTTTCAATGCTGGGTATTTTGAATTTTTATGAACCATTTGTAAATATGTGATGGAAGAAAAATAAATGTTTAATTCACAAGTTCTACAATGGAATGTTTCTAGATTGATAGAACTGAAAGTGGAGATGATTCTACACAGAGGGCATGTTTTTCTTTTTATGGTAGAAGGTTCCAGAAACAGATATAAAAAAGTGTCTGGCAGTATTTTCAATCATTTGATAGAGTCTCACTCAGGTCTCTAAGAAAGCCTGTTTGCAGAGTGTGTTCTCTTTCCATAGCTTCTGCATCAGAAAACAAGAGTGGAGAACTCTGAAGTGAAATGTACATGTTGCAGATGCATCAGGAAAATCATCTTCACAGAATTTAAAATTCCAAAAGAGTAAACTATAGGTTTACTAATGGATGTCACCTCTTTATTTACAAAACAAAAGGTAAAATTTCAACCCACTGAACCCTTTCTTTTCTCCTATCTGTTACAAAAAATGTTGCTCACAAAGAAAGCTCTCAAGAAAATCTCACATCCAAGAGCAGGGTTTAATGACAGGCACAAGCTGCCTGGCTGACCCAGGAAAGATGGTGCAGGAAGAGAGAGAGTCTGTGCCAGACATCGTTTTTTATAGAAGAGGAAAGGTAAGATGTTGGTGCATGTGCAGGGATCCCTGATAGGGGTGGAGCATGGGTGGAGCTTGTCTTGGAGCCTGGGAAATTTTGCTAAAGGGAATGGCTGTTATTGGGAATGGCTCCATTTTCCAAGAGGTGAGGCCTGAGGATAAAATGGCCACTGATTTATAAAATGGTGGCATTGTTGTTCTATCATTCCCCCATTTTTTTCTTTAATAATAATTAGAGTGGGGGCTAAGGATAGGGAATTGGGGAAAAGCGTTGGTCTCTTAGCTGCTTCCTGCTGGGAAGGGGTGTTGTATGGGGCAGGATCCTCAGGCTCCTGTGGTGTCCTGGATGGGGACTTCACAGTAGTTTTTCCAGGCAGTTTTACAGAGGTTGATATCCCTGGATGTACAACTGGTTAAATTTTTTATTAGCAATAGCAGACATGTGGTCTAAAAGAAATCTTTGTATCATTCTTATGATACAAGGGAGGAAGCTTAAGAATATGAGAGCAACAAACATAGGCATTAGGATGGACATTAACCAGGAGAACCACTGTGGAATGTTGTTCCCTAGAGGACTCCAATAGTCCTCCACTTCCCTTCTCCTTTTTTCTAATTGTTCCTGGAGTTGTCTAATTTTATATTTTACTACCTCCAACTGGTTAACATAGAAGCAGCACTCTTCTTGTAAAAATAGGCAGAGACCACCCATCTCTGCAGTGAGCAGGTCAAGGCCTCATTGGTTTTGGAGTACAACTGAGGCTAGGGAGTCAAGTTCTTTCTGTAAGGTTGGGATAGATTTGGCCACCATTTAAAGATCACTTATCAATTGATTAGAGAGTTTTGTGTAGTAGTAGACAGAGGTTCCTATTCCTGCAGCCCCCGTTTACATGGCAGCCATTATTCTCAGGGTAGCTAACAAGGGAATAGCCTGGATTGCCCTTTTAGATCAAAGGCACACAGTTAGTGGGAAAGGGAGGTCCTGATCTTCTGTAATAATATCCATGTTAGGAACTAAAAATTCCAGAGTGCAAATCACTTCCAGGCTTGGGGTAAATAGGGGTATACACTCTGACCGCATAGAAAGGGAGTCCCAGGAATGGGGATGCAGCAGATATTGTTTCCAGTTTATTTGGCCATCCTAGTGGTGTGACATTTTTTGTCCACCAGGGACCCTACTTCAACTATCCCTGAGGAACTCTGCAGGCAAAGAGGGGCAGGCTGAGAGAGGGAAACTGGGGAAAGAGTGGAGGCAGTGGGCCTTTTGGTGAAGGATCAGTTTAAGGTAAAGGGTGTGGAAACATTTATGGGGCTGGCAATGACCTGAGAAGGGCCCACCCACTGACACATCAACCAACTATGGGCTTCAGTAGGATTGGTGTGGCTGAGTAGTTGATGAGTGGTATTTATGACCTGGAGAAGGGTTTCAGAAAGGGACAACATATGTAAAGGAATTTTGGGAGGCTTTCTGGTGGGAAAGAATAAGTCATTTAGTGTTTGAGGTATGTGGGTGTGAAGGACCTTCTGGAGGGCCTCATCCTAGACTCTGCCTCCATCAGATATGCCAAGCTGTGAGAGGTAAGTCCAGCATATCTATTGTCCCCTCCTCTAGTGACAGCAGTAGCCAGCATGGTCACCTTTGCTGATACCTGTCCAATATTTTTGATTAAGATGTTGGCATAAAGTGGTGGTGCTATAACACACCTTTTGCATGATGGTATATGCTGTAAATGGCTGGCATGGGCAGGAGAGGAGGCCCCAGCATGCAAAGGTCCAAGTAATAAGAAAGAAGAGAGCACAAGGAGTAAGAAGCACAGGGCAAGGTATTCAAAACAGAGAGCAGTGCAATGGGGTCATCTCCACTTAGGGGGAGAAGTTGCCCACAGGCCAATACTTAGGAGAGAGGGGACTAGGACAAGAATTACCCACAGAAAGGGATGGAGTGAAGCATAGGTGATGTGGTTTACAATAAGGCAAAGGGAATGTTGGAAAATGAATAGATTTCCTCAGGAGTAAAGTCTGAGACAGTACCTTGGAGGTGAAGGTCGGCTGTCCAATCTATGAAGCAGGGGTAAAGAAGGTATGAGAAATGAGGGAGGCTGATTGTGTTAGGAGATGGGAAGAGTAAAATCTCAGAGTAGAGTGTATATAGGAAAGAGTAAAAGCGTGAGCATGCACTGACAGGAAAGAATGGGAGGGGGGAAGTATAAAGAGTGAGTAGGTGAGATGTCAGGTCCCTAAGCATAGGTCTCCTGCCTATGCCTTGGGAGTCTCTGTGGTTGTGTTGCCATCTTCTAGGATCTTGGGGAGGCAGGAGATGTTTATTTTTGTTGGTCCTTCGATAAGGGCAGTTACCCTGGGCTCCCGTGAAATTATGGTTGTCGGGCCTGGCAGTCCTGGGCTCTGTCAGTCATCAGCTGTAGTCGCCAGTCCTAAAAGATCAGTTAAGGAGGAGGGACTGTGTGGGGGCTTAGATCCTTTGCCTTGAGGGATGGAGGGGCAGTCCATCACCCAGTGGCCCTCCTGTTTGCACTTAGGACATGGCCCTGGCAGGCGGCATGGTTTAGGACAGGTATGGGCCCAGTGCCCCTGAAGGGCACACTGAAAACATGAGCCGGAAAGTGTTCAGGATTTTTCCTGGCCTCAGGAGTTAAAGGTCAGAGGCCTTTGTCAGAGGGCTTGTGCCAACATCTGGAATTTAGTCTTATCTCTCCTCTTCTTATCAGCCATTTGTTATTCTTCTTGGTAATTATAGACCTTGAAGGCCACGTTTAAAATTTCAGCCTGTGGAGTCTGAGGGCCATTTTCCAGCCTTTTAAGTTTTCTTCTTATATCTGGGCTGACTGGGAGATAAAGTGGGTCATAAGAATAATTGTCCCATCCTGAGTTTCAGGGTCAATTTTTATATGGTGTCGTAGCACCTCTGTGAGTCAGAACAAGAAACTAGCTGGATTTTCCTCTTTTTCTTGTTGAATTTCTCTGAGTTTATCAAAATTAACAACCTTTTGGCCCTCCTTTTTTAGTCCTCTCACTAAACAAGTAACCATCTGATCCTAAGCATTCTACCATGGTTTGGTAATTCCAATTAGGATCCCCCATAGGGATTGTTGTAGCCCCTACAGGATGGGTGGGGGTGGTGCAATGGATCTCATCTGCTTGTGTCCTAGCCATGTCCCAGATCCTGCATCTCTCCTCTGGAAGGAGGGTGGAGGAAGAATGAGATAGATGTCATGCTGAGTAAGGTCACAGGATTGAGCCAAGTATTGGAACTCTTTAACCTAAG